TCCTACCACTAGTTCTCTGCAGAATTTTAAGACTTACATTGCAAAGTCCTAAAAGAGTTTCATAACAGTTTAAGGATGGGGCTCAAATATTCTTCCAACAGCTAGAAATAACCCATTATTTCACTCACTGTAGCATTCAGGGAAAACTTGTATTTCATTTTTATGTGTGTTTACAGGTGAGGGTCAAAAAGGTCCTTTCAACATCCAGAGAGACATAGGGCTTTGCAACACCAGGCAGAACTGTACCTAGCTTGTGGATTTGAGCATCACCCCTCAAGATGCTAAAGCCTGGATGGAGCATGTAGGTCCCCAGCTCTAAGGGAAAAGTTGGTTTCTCAGACTAGGTACTTCAATTTTACATAATGCAAAATTGAATTTCAAAGTGTCTCTTTCTGCCTTAAATTTGTTATGTACTAATCAGAAATGATTGCTTTCCCAAAGATCCCAGAGTGATTTGGTTACTTAGAGCCTTATGTTCTTGGTATTTTATCAATATTTTATGTTTGGCATTTTGCTGTCACTTACACCTAGCTTTGAAAATGGAAGCATGTAGAAGATGATCAGTTTAGAGGCAGCAAAACCAAGATGTGATCATTCATTTTACACCTGTATTTAACATTAACCATCTCTAATATCATCCTCAAGTCGTGTAATTAAATAGGAAATGGTCCCTACTATCTGGTTCAGTACTGGAAATTCTGTTGAGCTTTGGCCTCAATGAAGGCTTTACCATGGACTTTCCATGTGGATGAGCTCCTTGTATAAAGTTCTGATTTAGAAAACTGCTTTCTAAGGAGGATATGTCATGCTGCAATACAGAACATTATGTAGTTATCACATCTAAGTAAGGGCTATCACAGATCCATATTTCTCAGACTTAGAGAGCAGAAAATGATGTGAATCTTTCTTGTTTATCTGCATCATCAGATGCTTCCCAAGCTCTACCAGTAGAAAAGATAATCTTTGGCTTCCAGGAGCCCAAATGGGAGACCAGTTGCTATCCCCTATAGTTCTCCCTGTTGGAGAAGCTACACAAGATGAAAGTAATAATAAGTTCAGGATCTGCACTTATATTTGGCTATTCTTACCTCTCACTCATCTTCCTGTATGCACCTTATAAATGAGGAAAAATATTTCCCTGCACTGGCTGCTACACCCCTACTAGTGGTTCTGATCATCAATTAAATAATTTTAAACAAAGATTGAAGCTACGTATTTGTCATCTGCTTTTACCTAAGATTTTTTGTTTGTTTTTTATTTTTCTCTACCCCTGGATTTCTTGTATTTCTCTCTTGAAATCTACCTCTTCACATAGAAGTTCTTTGATTCAGTGACTGTAGGTAGTGCACAGCATTTTTTTTAAAGTTGGCACAATAAAAACAGCTGCTGAGTTCCCTGTGAGAGGGACTGAGTATGTCTAGTTCCTCTCCTAGCTATGCTGTAGGCAGGTACAAAACTTTTTTGTGGTTTGAATGGCTATAATGGTTATACTGATTATACTGAGACTCCTAAAGCCTCAGAAAATTTAGGGGATGGTGGATCTGGAAAGTGCAGATGTCTGAAACAGGTCATTTTGATGAGTGCATGCTGTAAAAACCGAGGCAAAAGGAGTTCAGAGGGATGCTAACATCTTTGCATGGAACAATTTTTTAGAGCTGTGGATGTGGAACTCTCCCAAACCTTTATACATTTCAGTATTCGATAAGTCATATGGAAACACCTAATTATTTGCAAAAGTCTGTATAGAGTTTTATACAGGCAGATCTTAAAATTTTAGCTTAATATTATTAGTTTCATAAACACTAGACTTGAATGTCTATAGTTGCACTGGTCACCAGGGTGTGAGGAGGTATCTATGGAACAATATTGACCTGAGCCAAGCACCTTAAATGAAAACACACTGTCTTTGGATCTGTCTGTGGTACATACAGGATAAAGTTTTATTCTGAGGGTTGCTATATAATCAGGCTTGTCTTGTATTCATTTCCTTTGTTTGCAGCATAATGTTGTTTCACCTTTGTCCTTTGATTTGTTCTGGGGCAAACATTCAATCTGGGAAGCAGCTCCACAGGTTGGAGAGGGGATGGAGAAGGAAGGAGTTGCCTTCCATAGCAAGAGACTGCAAAAAGATTGCAAGCAAAAGGGGGAAATAACATTCTTTATCCTTAATTTAGTGAGTTCTTAGTATCAATTGCATTCTCCATTTTTTTTTTGCTTTTTTATATTTTTTAATGTTCACCTTTTCAATAAGAAACCTTGAGATTTAAGCATCTAAAGGTTGTTTTAGTGTTGCTGTCACTCACTGATGTTTCAGTACTTAATTGTTGTTAAATGTTCTGAATACTCTGAGCTCCTAAATGGAGTTGATGTGCAGTAAAGGTCCAGCAGGAGTGTTGTTTTTATTGCAAAAATTATGACAAATTATTAATAACATATACATGGTGATAAAATTGGGATTTTGAATAATTACTACTCATTGACTTTTTTACAGAAAAAAAATAATTGAATGAGTTGGGTTTTTCATTGTTTAGAATTTATTCTAGTCACTGCAAAATTGTTCTTTTTTGAAACTGTAAATCAAAGGAAAAAGAAAATCTCCACAGATGTTGTATGTGTTTGATGTATTAGACACATTTTTGCAGTGTACTGCCTGAAACCTAGGGAATTCATTAACTCACAAGTTACTGCCAGGGAGGGAAGCAGTCACATTTCCCAAGCTGGAGGATGTGGTAGGGCAGGCTTTGTCCTGCCTTGTATTTGGCTGGCTCTGGAGAAAGGGGATATCTTCAAACTGCTTCTCCCCTGGCAGCATCTGCTATTTAATTAACCTGATAAGGTCTGTGGCTTGCTGTTTCCCATTGTACAGCCAGGGATGATGAGAGACAAGAGCTGAGGCTCTGCATCAGCCCCCACTGGCTTTAGGACAAACTTCAGAGAGAGAGGGACAAGGGCCACAAGTTTGGGAAAGAAGAAGAGTTACCACCTTTCACCCTCAGCAAAGCAAAGCAGTTGTTTAAATAGCATTTGCCCTGTGAGGGACCTCTCTGAGCATGTTTTTTGACACATCTGTCTCAGCAGGGCACCACTTCAGTAGAGAGAGCAGGGCAGTGAGCCTAGACACCAGACAAGTGGTGGATGTTAATGCCACTCCTCCCAATTACCCAAGAAAGGCAAATAAAGACTTGAAATGGCAGTACATCATGGGAAAAAAAAACCCAAAACAACCTATCATCTAGTCAGTAAAATACTATCTCCCTGAATTTCCCTGATCTCCAGAAAAGAGGCTTCACCCAAGGGAACCTGAGCCTTCTCTGTGGCCATCCTGATCCAATGGGCATCACTTGGGATTTGAGTTGTAACTGTGTGAATGATAGAAAATCTTGTGGGTATGTTCAGTGGGGAACTAACTGAAAAGCTCTGAGTGAGGAGGTTGTGGTTGTTGGTAAAAGATAGAGGTGTCACTGCCATCAGGCACTGCCTCCTGTCATTCCTGGGATGGATTGCTTAAATTTACTGTGGCTCATTTCTCTCCCCCAAAATTGAACCTGGTTTAGAATTTCATAGCCCTCACAATAAATAACATCTATAACCCTGAGCTATATTCTGTGATCCTCACCAGTACCTGAATGGGATTTCAGATGTTGCTTTTGGTCTATAAAATGTGAAATGGTTTGCTTGTGAGACAGCCCCAATTCCCTGCAATGTGCTGCTGGCATAGCAGTCCCTGGGGGGACCAGGTAGAGGAGAATGTTCTCCCCCTCGATGTGAATCTCTCACTTGCAAACTCCTTCCACCACTGGATCTGTGAGGGCTTAAGAGAAACTGCTGTATCCACACCACAGGAGAATTGCTATCAAAAACAGTAGTAAAGGATTCTGAGAGGCAGAGACTTTTTTTATTTCTCTGCTATTGTTTGAATTGCAACAAGCAAATATGAGAAATACCAACTACTATAACCCTTGAGACACATTCACTTAGGGGCTAGCAGTGACCTTGTTGAGCACAGAGGTACTTGTTGACATTCACTTTTCCTTTTGATCCTGTTAGCAATGTCTCAGCCCGTGTCACTGTTTTCTGAAATGGATGTTCAATATTTGAAGTAACCTGGAACAAAGCATTCTCTTCTGATAACTGCATTTAAAAGAAAAGCTTCAATATTTACTGTTTAATGTACTAGGATTAAAGGTGTAGTGATCCACTCCAGTAGGTTTGCCCTACTTGGAGCTAAAGGGTGTCAAACAAACAACCAAGTTTGCACTATTTTGTAGGAAACTACAAAAGAGCTCCAAGGGTGAGAAGATTGCTGTCAGATATTGTTTTATGTTGAAAAATACAGTTCTTTTGTCTAATGATGAACTGCAGTGAATTCCAGAGGGAGGGATTAATGGATGACATTTACATTCAACCATGTATTAGAAGCATGTATCAAAAAAAAAAAAAAAAAAATCAAAGGAATGTATACTGGTAAAACTGTGGAAGGTTGCTGCTTTTATTTCAGATCAGAAGAAGAGTTCATGAATCCAAAGCACAACTGTTTTTTCCAAATAGATGTGCCTGTCCAATACAAGTTAATGCCTTTCTCTAAAAGCTTCATTTTTCTTACTGAAGTAGAGCATCTTTTTGCTTCAGGTTTTATTTTCTTTAGATCTGTAATGTGTGTAAATGAGGTAATGGAATAACACTGATTTACAGCAGCTGTGATCCAGCTCCTTCTCCAAAAATGCAAATGATTCCTCTGGTATTGGTCTCATGAAGAATGCTAACAGTAAATACATGGAGCCTTGCAGTAAATGCACAGTCAGCCTTGCCTCAAGCAAAGGCCAGCTCCAATATTTTATTTGGCATTCATTCTAATTGCTCAATGGCATACTCTTGGATTTTTTTTCACTCTGTGTTGCCATGATGAAACACATGGCAGATATTATTTCTCGGTCTGTTAGCACCTTGCGATGAGCTATTAACACTTGTCACTGTTTTTCTCCTCGGTGTCTTTCTCCTAGGAATTATGTCTGACCACCAGTTTGGAAACCAGTTTATGTGCAGTGTGGTTGCATCCCATGTGAGCCATCTCCCGACTACAAACCTCAGCTTTGTTTGGATTGCTCCACCTGCAGGGACAGGCTGTGTCAACTTCATGTACGTATACACACAAAGCCAAGGAGAAGACAGTCACTTTGGGGATAATGAAATGGTCTAACCTGCTTGCACTAAGACCTTATGTCTGGGTTAAGGAGTTAGACAGAATACACTGCAAAATATAGACTTTAGTAAGAAGTAAGAATGTTGAGTTCTTCCTGGCTGAAGGGTTTCTGTGCATGTTAGGACTTTATGTTTTCAAAGCATGTAGGAAGGAGATAGTGGTTTGTGATGTAGCTAATGTCATCAGGTGACATTAGTCAGGTGGGGGTTGGTCTCTTCTCCCAGGCAACCAGCAGCAGGACAAGAGGGCACAGACTCAAGCTCTGCCAGGGGAGGGTTAGGTTGGATATTAGGAAGAGATTTTTTACAGAGAGAGTGCTCAGACATTGGAATGTGCTGCCCAGGGAGGTGGTGGATTCACCATCCCTGGAGGTTTTCAAGCTGAGACTGGATGTGGCACTTAGTGCCATGGGCTAGTAACCACAGTAGAGTTGGCCATGATGATCTTGGAGGCCTTTTCCAACCCAGCTGATTCTATGATTCTATGATCAGAGAAATAATGTACAAGTCTTGCATTTAAACAGAAATTGTTTCTTCTTAGGCATTAATCATATAACATATAATTTATGAAGTTATTAATCATCACATATAGCTCATTTGCACTGACCTAATTTGTTAACTGTTGCATTTAGTAAGAGTTAGAACATCGCACAAATGATCTTATTCAGATGATAAGCATCAACATAAAATACAAGTATTTCAGAGTAGTTATAGTCAAGTATTTATGGTTCCTAATTATGAACACTTTCAGCTTCTGTTGAACTAGGAATAACCAAGAGGTTTTCTTGGTGAATTGTTTTAGAGACCTAAGTAATCATTCTATGACTTAGTACCATATGAAGTTCCAACAAAATACACAGCTTAACTTGAATATTAGTGTACATATTACTATACTTTACCTTAAAGTAATTGCTAATTGTTTGTCCCAAAATTTTGGTAGATGAGATTTGAGAGAGAAAATACACAGTAAGTGTACAATAAGTAAACAGTTGCAACATCTCAGAGACCTTTCCAGTGTTTCTGTGACTATTCTGTTGTCAAAAGAAACGTTCCTCTGAGTATTATTCCCCACAATGTACCAGAGAAGCTGGTCATAGTCTTTAAGATTTGACAGAAGTCAAATTTAATTAAAAATTTGGGGAAAGATTGTTGCTGTTTTACTTAAATTCTGTGTCAGAAAAGGTAGCCTTAGTTGAATATACCTTGAGGAAATTGGTCAACTGTGGGTTTTTTTCTGTCGAAAATCTGTGGATTTTATACTTCTTTTAATTCTGTTCTCATAATAGTTTCCTTTGTTGATCAAATTGAAGCAACTAAAATTTGTTCTTTGAGCTCCCTAGAGATATTACATCTTGTCTGTATATTCTGGCTTATTCCCTTCCTCAAATTTTTTGGTTTTCCTGGTGTCTGATAAATAATTATTGAATTGTTGGCTCTAACTTGCACAGTGGCTATGAATGTATTTGTTTGAGTTGTGATGCTCCATTGTGAGTTTTGAGGTCAGTTTATAACCCATTATTCATTTTCCTGTCTCTGATTTCTTTTTTCCATGGCTTTTTGTTGGTTTTTTGTGTTCATGTTTGCCATTGTTGAACAAGAGTTGACAAATAACTCTACAGAAATACAAATACTCCTATGACTGCTGATTCCCATTTAAGTGAAATTAAAGAGATATTTTCTAAGGCAATAAGTGCATTAGCAATCTTGAAATGCATGCAAGGTTCAACATTGGCTTCAGTGGAAATAGATTTAGGTTAGCACTGAACAGTTTTGGAAATTCAACCTGTAATTCCCTGTTTGTCCAAGTCATAATCCACCTCTTCAGCATTATCACCCTTCAGAAAGGATGATGCTTGCACTGTGTTGGTAAAGTCCTTAGCCATGCTGCAGTGTGCAGGACATACATAGCAGAAATCTGGATTTATTCTTGGCTCTGTTGCACCATGAGTGTACACCTACAGCTGGCAGGACTGAGAGGCTGATCCTGCTTGGAGAAGCTGCTCCCATGGTCCCTGCCCCACATGACTCTCAGTCTCAGGGACTTTTCACAATGCCTCACCCCATATAAGGGTATAAGGATGCTCCATGAGTGATTCTGTTTTGGTTTTGAGAATGAGCAAAATGGTGCAATTCTATCAGTTTGGTGTCCTGTAAAACAAATTCAGACCAGAGGCTCAGCTTCTCTGAAGTTGGTGTTTGCTCCAGGATCACACTTGGCTGCAGGACTACTGGGTAAACATGATCATCAGTTGAAGGAAATGTAAGGAGGAGAAATATGTTTTACCTCTAATCCTCCTTCTCAATTTTCCTTCAACTGCCCACACTTTCTTGCCTCAGCTGGTGTTTTCCCTGCCTACTAAATCATAAGTTGCAGTAAACAAAGCTATTTTTGTGGTTTATTTAGTCTGGCTGCCTTACCCAGTTCCCTGACTTCAGGATTTCCAAAGAGTTGCCTGCACCTTGTTTGTCTTCCTTTGTGCCTCTATAGCTAATAATAAGCAAGATTTTTTAACACTTTAAATTTAGTATATAGTTTAAATTTTATACACATTACATTTAATATATTAAATGAATTTTTATCTAAGTTTAATTTAGTATAGATTAAAAATATTTACAAAAGGTCCCTGCATTCATAGACTCTGACAACAGCCTAAAAGCTTCCTATGCTCTTTGTTGCCAATACATCTGTGATTCAGATCAGCTCATTAGTCTTTGACCTCTCTGGGGATGGATAATAAGGTTATTAATTAGCACTAGCTTTGACGTGCGATTTTTGCAGAGCTGATACCTTTCCCTGGACAATTCTTGTGAGGGGCTGGACAAAGGTCACCAGGCAAATCTCTCACAGGCCAGTGCACAGCTAGATTTATTAACTGCACATGTTATTGACCTGTTCTGGCTTCTACTAGAACAGTGGAATTCCAAGAGTGTGACACAGAGATGTCATGACCCTGTAGGGCAAAATTCCCTTTGACTTCATCCATGCTTTTTGGTGTTCTCTTCCAAAGCTCAGTCCTGAGAAAGACTGAACCTCTAAGAAACAAGATTGGTGTGATGATGCTGTCAGTCTGTCCTTCCTTGTAGCTCTTGTGCCCAGTGATGACCAAACAAATGTGACAGAGTGGTTTGAGGTATCAGATGCAAAATGTCATAAAGATCAGTAGCCTGGTAGACCATTTATACCAGTAAGTCTGGACATTCCAATTTCCTGTTGGCAGCCCACCCTGAATTTCCCAGTCATGGCTAAGGAGATGGTTCCTGGCCATGTTTGGTTTAATAAAACAGCCAGAGAAGAACACAAAAAGTACTGCTGCTATTGCAGGAGAGGAGGGCTAGCAAAGCTTTCATCCTCTGGGATGAGGGGAAATGGGAATGTGGGAAGGGATGTGGGACACAGTTCTGTAGAGGGCTCCTGCAAGGAAGATGGGCTTATTTTTGGGGTGTGAGATGCAGGGGCACAGCAAATTTGGATTTGCACCTCATACAGTAGCTTGCCAGCACAACACTCAGCTTCTTTCCTGCCCCACTGGAATATTCCTCATCTCTGCAGTTCGATGCCATCCAGTTATTTCCACTGCAGACAGTGCTGTGCCACTGCTGGATCTGAATATAATGCTCCCTGATGGAGCTGTGTGTCTTGCCCTGGCTCAACCTTTTGCCTCTTCCCCAGCTTCATGAGGACAAGGGATGATGTAGAGCCCTGTGATCCATGGGGGAAAGTGGCTGGAGCTAATCTGGTTTTGTGCAAAATGAGGCAATAGCTATGTTTTTACACTAATTGTGTGCAAATTGGTGCTTTTTTTCGATCTCTTTTGTGGGGTTTCCTCCCCTAAGTACCTTATTATGGCCACTAAATGTTTAGAAGTACATTTTTATGAAATACACTTCTAAGAGAAACCCCCAAAAGGTGCTGGTGTCCCTGAGGTACATCTTGGAGTAATCCTTTAGTATGTTTTCACTGTTGATACTCATCATGTGAGTTGATACCATTCATTGCAAAATAATTTTCTTAGCAATAACTTAGCACTCTCTCAAACAGGTGCTGAGCTGCCAGGATCTATAAATGCTCTTTACCTCCAGAAAATAGTAGGTCCTCCTTTACACTTACAAGTAGTTTCTCTGTTTGTGGGCAAATATGTAAAACATTCTCTTCATAATCCTCCAGCTAGGTTTCCTGGTTTGTAATTTCTGCACTAAGCTCACACTAACCCAGTTAAAGCCCAGCCTGTCAGCAGGGATAATAGTGGCTGGTAAGCAGGGTGGCACGCTGGGCTGCAGCTCTAGGGTTGTTAAGCCTGTTGTTTTATAGATGGCTTAACTTATTAGTTTGCAAAAGTGATAAAGCTGACCTAAATAGCAAAAGCATATTGTGTTTTGACCACCAGCATGGTTTATTGCAGAAGTTTCAGCTATTGTATTGCATAGAATTGGTGGCTATAGAAATTACCTAGAAAAATAAGTATTTTTCTTATGAAGCCATTTTTGTTAGTCACTCAACAGGTGTCTAATTAAATTATGATTGTGTCTATACATTTATTCACTATAACTTCTATTAATAGTGGACTGGACTTCTTTAGGTCTGGAACACATGTGCTGTGAAGAAAGCCTGAGGGAATTGGGTTTGTTTAGCTTTGAGAAGAGGCTCAGGAGTGACCTCATGGCTCTCTGCAACTACCTGACAGGGGTTGGAGAGAGGTGGGGGATGTCTGTCCTGCCATGGCTGCAGGGAGAGGACTAGAGGGAATGGCCTTGAGCTGAGACAGGGGAGAGTCAGATGAGATGTTAGGAGAAATGTTTTCCCTGTCAGGGTGTTCAGGCACTGGAATATTGCCCAGGGAGGTGGTGGAGTCACCATCCCTGGAAGTGTTTAAGAGGTGTCTGGATCTGACACTAGAGGATATGGTTTAGGGGTTCCAACAGAGTGGCTGGTTAATGGT